CTTGCATCATTCCGAGTCTGCCGGTGTCATCCTTGGTCTCCGTCGACGGCGGCGCGTGAGTAGGTAAAGATGTCAAAGTTTTCGATTTGTTGAAATTAAGCTCTCCGCCATTCAAAATTGTGAACCGAGCTTTGTAAGTATCTCGAAATCACTCAAAATAATTTTAGGAATTTTTCCGGGAATTTAGCACTGTTCACGTGCAGCCACTGCGCATGGGGAAGGAAAAGTGACCGGTTTAACCGGTTTTGGAACTGCTTTGACCGATTTGACTGGTCACGACCCGACCCGTTGACCCGACCCGATCCGTTGACCCGACCCGTTGACCGTTGACTGGCGTTGACCAAAACTTTGATAGGCTTTGACCGGGCATTAAACGACCTTTGACTTTGACCAAGTATACCTATCCTGACATTTTTCGACGTTCCAAATCCGATTCCGCAATCCGTTTTTCGAAATTCAGACCCGAAGGCCTCAAAATTACCGGTCAAACCCATTGACTTTGATTTTGACCGAAAATTCCAAATTTTTGAAAAGTCATATTTTATGCTTTCGACGTCCTGAATCCAAATCCGAAGTCCGTTTTGCCAAATTCGAACCCAGTAAGCTATTTTTCATTGATTTATCACCCGATTCGATCCGTTTATCGCAGTTAAGCTCCGTTTCTGATATAATTTATGTTGATATGTATCTGAGGAATTATTGGAAGTTGAATTGAAGATCAAAGGCGTTCGAATGGAATTTTATGGTCGATCAGTATTGCATAGAAATCGAGGTGATACTTTACTACCTCTTTATGCTTTATGGAACATGTTTATATTGATAAATACATTAACAAGACAATGTTGGTCACTTTGGTAGAGTTGAATAATTTATACACTCGATATGATGTGGTAGAAATTCTATAACTAATTACGGATCGAAAGACTAATATAAGAGATTGAGGAATTATTAGATTAAATTACAAGTTTGTTATTAGTGATAAAGAAATCAGCCTTGTATCTACAACTTATAATTTATTTCATCAAAGGTTAAATGTTAAAGGTACTTGGATGAGAAATTATGAGAATACTCCAGTAGGGTAAAATTATGAAAATACCCTTATGTTATAAAAAGACAAGATTTGAATATGGAAGTTAGATAAGAGGATGTTACAGACATATTGATCTAAAAAAAATATTGATGTGCATAAGAAATGTTAATTTTATTTGGAAATTATGGATAACCGGTTTTAATCCTAAGAGAGTTTGTGAAGGATACTAGAAGTCTGTTAAGAGAACCGTTTCAAGATCAGAGAGTGTTCAAGAAAGCAATTAATCATAGGATCTCTAAATTATATTATTTTCGTTAAGAGCTAATATCTAAATTATTTGGTTAAGAAATTACAGAAATGCCCTTAAGAGGTAGAATAGTCTGAGTTGACCCTTAATGAGAAAATACTTTGAGGATTCGTACTTAACTCGATTAAGTACGGATTTGATTGTTAAGATCTTGACTTAGTTCAGGAAAATTTCTGATATTCCGTTTGTAAAATCTGAGAAGACACTTGACCCAGAAATATCCGAGTTATGAGTAAATACCTGAAGAATAATTTGTTTGGGGTGTTCTGTTGTCATAATTGTTCGAAAGGACTGAAATAAATGATAAGATTGAATTTAATAGTAAGATCAGACGGAAGGAAATGATTGAAATACGATGAATCTATAAAATGACCAAAATACCCCTATAATGGAAATGACCCAAGAATACCACTAAGCTCAAGAATGATTGGATATCTTCGAGCTCTGAAATAAATGGAATAAAAATGAACACCAAAATTACCAAAATACCCTTGTTTCCTATTCTAAGTAAATGTCTTTGATTAATTAAGGAATCCAAATAAGCATAGGTGTTGGACTACCTTTAGAAATTATGGATCACAACTTAAGTAAGTTGATCAATCTTAAAGATATGTCAGTACCTGAACGGCATAGATGTTTTTTGAATGTGTGTTCGTCTTCTCAAGTGTGGTTCGATGATAATTTTGAAAGTACTCAGCTCAACTCTGGATCACATCCGGTACTAAGTAATAAATATTCGTTAAAGAAATCAACCAAGAAGACCAAATTGAATGGATCTGAAGTACAATATATATCTGAAATACAGGAACGTTTGTATTACTCTGAAAACCCCGAAATAACTATAATAGACTTGATTGCTAAATAAGCTAAGTAACCTCAATGATTGAGGTTTAAGTAAGTGAATTGGATAAGTTTGGAAATTCTGATGAGTTTATAAGATGTACTGTCCTTATGGAACATGAACTAAAAATCAAGCACGTCAGTATTTCATGATATCGTGGAAGTTTGGAAATGAAATAAAGATCATTGGAAGATCTATTCAGCGATGATTCTGAAGATGATCTATGAACAAGAATTTGTGGTATTAAAAAATAAATACCCTGGAAGGAAAATGAATTGACCAGTGGACATAAATTGTTAAGGTTCTGAATCTTCGTTCTCAAGTTGTTCGATTATCCAATAAATTTACATGGATGTAAAGGATTCTGAATACCCTTCTGATTACGTACAACTTCTGAAAATTGTCTGAATAAGATATGATCCTGATAATTCACATTCTGAATAACTGATGATTCTGTCAGTTATTGAACTTTTTACAATTGTGATTCTAAATTCCGACATTCTATCGGTATACTAAAAATTCGTGTTTCTCTACTTGCTAAGATTATCCAGTACATCTAAATAATATTTGTAAACTCTGGTGTGTTCCCTAATCATATAATTATTTTATCTGATTTCCGACTTGAATTCTGTTCTGATTTCTGATCTGGATTCTGTTCTGAATTCTGTTTTGATATCTGATATCTCCGTTTAATGACGAAAAAATGTTTTAATTGGGGGGTATTGTTGAAGGAAGAAGTTCCGCAGGTTTCTCGGCTTTGTGCTCAGGGCCTTATATGATGTGTTGGGTTGGGTGTATGGTTCTGGGGAACCTACATATTCTGATGTGATGGGATGGGGGTATATATATATATATATATATATATATATATATATATATGTTTTAAAAGATCTGTATATTTTTACTGGTTTTACGGGAACACACTAGATAACATATTCTGATCTTCTAAACTCAGTCATCCGAAATATTTGTCTGAACTGAAAGCTTATTGTTCGTTACCATCTGAAATATCAGTAGGATCTCTGCTCAGCATAAAAATCTCTAAATGTTCAGAAATAATAAGGATATGTATGTTTATCTGTATCTGCATGTTCTTCAGCATTATCTGGTAGTTCTGTATTACTGAGCTTTTCGAAGCTCACTCTATTACTCACCTTTTCAGGTTAAAAGAATTGTACCAGTGCATCTATCGACTTCAGTAAGGGAGTTCTTCTGGCGTTGTTGCAGAGTATGGTATATATATGATTAGGGGGCATGTAATTATATTTTGTTTTATATACGAGTCTGGAAATCTGTTTTATTTTTAAATAGTGACAAATGATTTTATAAGTTTACATGTTCCGATAAAAATTTTTAAATTTTCCGCTATTTTTACAGTGGGTTGCTCCGGTGACCCTAAATATGACAACCCAAATGCACTACTCATTATGGGATTAGGTAAGTAAATTCATTAAAAAATACATTTTATTGGCAAAAATGCCCAAATAATGCTGCTGGGAATGTTTAATTCCCAAAATAAGGATGTCAGTCGATTATTTCCCCAAATGGGGTGAATACTACAGGGTTGGATGTATTGCTTTGGATCTCTCGGTGACTTCAAGGGTGTTGGATTTGTTCAAGGATCTCTCGACGTCTTTAAGCATGGGAATACGGAATGCTAGGCGGTCTTCAATGCAGGGAATGCTCGACAACAGCAGCTGCTCACCCCTGGCACATGCAACAGATATCATATCTCATTTCAGTATTCAAACTGCAGCAGCCAAATACCTCATCCCAAAGCTAAGCCTTTGTCATCCGACCGACCAATTCTACAAATTATGTAATGAGGACCCTCATTGGAGCAACTTCAAGCTCGACACCCCTCTCCATTCTCTCCGACAGAAGAACAGAAACCAGACAACCACCATTGCTCTCCATTGCTTCACCGTTCAAACCAGCTTTTATCAAGACCCAACCACCTAGAAGCTTGTATGGTGGTCTACTGCTACTGTCATCAGTTCTTCCTTATGGTTTTGTCGAAGCTTTATCGTACGAGGAAGCCTTGCAGCAGACTACAGGGTCCCCTTCCTCATTGGAAGTAGATCCAAGTTGGATCCTTGATTCTATCCTCAGTTTTGCAACTGAGAATCCCACAGTTATGGTTGGTGGAGTTGTTGTTTTGGCAGTTCCATTGATTTTGTCTCAGCTGTTGAAGAATCCAAAGCCATGGGGAGTTGATTCCGCAAAGAATGTTACACATGCAATAGCATCACATGCAACAACAACTTTCTCTGCTCACCCCCGTGATTTCCCACGTCCAGACCCGTATGCAGAGCTCCCACATGCAACAGCAGCAACACTGTCGCAGCTCGTAAATACAGCAGGGGCAGTTTCAGTTTCGCTGTAAAGTTGAAGACGTCGAGAGATCCTTGAACGAATTCAACACCCCTAAAGATGCCGAGAGATCCAAAGCAATGCATGTAACCCTGTAGCATTCACCCCATTTGGGGAAATAATCGACTGACATCCTTATTTTGGGAATTAAACATTCCCAGCAACATTATTTGGGCACTTTTGCTCCATTTTATTGACTATTGTCCTTTAAATTAATAAATTAAAGCTAAAATATTTTATTCGTTATTTTCAATACAATGGCATATTATAATATTAGTACAATATATAATAATCTAAATAATAAAGGTGCTTTAAAAACACTCCAATTAAATTAATGATCTTTAATTCTTGGTGGCAATAATAAGGGGTAAATATATATTTTGGTACATAAACATGATTTTAAAGTGCAATTTGTTACCTAAACATTTTTCCCAATTAGGTATCTAAACTTGGCATTAAAGTTCTTTAACACCCCAAATTATGGGCTAGTAGTTTCGGGTTTACCCAAGAGACATATGAGCCCCGTAGATTTCATAATTTAAGTCGTTGATCTTAATTGGGTTGGAATTGGGACCAATTAGCCATAAAAAGAGATCTTGAATGGTAGAAATAAGAGAAATGACCAAAAGCATAATTATCCCATTTTAAAAAAGATGAGAGCTTTTATCTCTTTCATATCTATTTTCTTCTCATTTCCTACTCCCATTTCTTCTCCAAGTGCTACAGCTAAAGAGAAATTGAGGGTTTATCATCCAAGTCTTAGAGGATAGTGTTTGGTGGTTAAAGGAGCTTCATTTCGAAATTCTAACATCAATGTAGTATATTTATAATCCTTTGTGGTGTTAAGGCTTTCAATCATTACGTTTTGTTGACATTTTTAAGCATATTAGAGTTCATACTTAATTCATGCCATAGATGACAACTTAAAAGAATGTATTTTTATTACACTTTAAGACCCTAAATAACTTCCAACAGCTTTAACACGATTAAAAACCAAACTATAGCCTTTAGAGTGATTTTGGTCGTTTTCTCGAGCCTAAATAAAATATTTTGGGTTCGAGTATCAATACTAGGATAAATAGTTTGATATTGGATACATTGGGTGTATTTATAATCCTTTGTGGTGTTAAGGCTTTCAATCATGAAGTTTTGTTGACATTTGGGTTTTTAAGCATATTAGAGTTCATACTTGATTCATGTCATAGATGACAACTTTAAAGAATGTGTTTTTATTACACTTTAAGACCCTAAATAACTTCTTACAGCTTTAACACACGATTAAAAACCAAACTATGGCCTTTAGAGTGATTTTGGTTATTTTCTCAAGCCTAAATAAAATATTTTTGGGTTGTAGTATCAATACTAGGATGAATAGTATTGATATTGGATACATTGGGGCAAAATCTAGAGATTTCAAGCAGGGGGTATCAATATTGCTGGGAGAGTATCGATACTGCTCCTATAATATCGATATTCAAGGTGTACACTATCAATACTGAGCCTCGTTTTCAGTAGCAGAATATATTTTTGGTACTGATACTCATAGGGGTATCGATACTTGACCTAGGGTATCGATTCTACAAGTAGAGTATTGCTACTACATACCTTGGATGATCATATTAAACCCGGTTAAGATCCTTAAGAGTTAAGGATGGTTTGTGATGGTATAACTTAGTCTGTGGGGGACGTAAATGGTCAAAGGGCCCAGAGACACTCGCTGGAGTAGGCTACAACCAGAGTAACCATGGTAGGTGTGATGCATCTAAGTATCTTTAGTTGATCACGTAGCGAGTATCTAAGACTGAAGGATCGTTGTAGATGAGGTACCGACAAGCGATATAAAGATTTAACCAGATTACAAAATAACAAAGTGTGTACTGTAAGAATGTCAATGAATGACGAATGTATAATTTCCCCTCCAATTCGAAGGTGGATTGGGGGAAAGTGTAGTAAGAGCAACTAGAGTATTTCTACTCAGTATAAAACCCGAGACAGGTATCGGGCTAGTAAATAATATAGTAAGTGAATAGTAAAATCAATATTGCCATAAAATAATAAAACAATAGAGACTTTCCTAGAAATAGTGAATGACTAAACGCCCTTAAGTAACGAATGAGCTGGATAGAACAACTTAATAAACTAACATCATTAACATACTAATAAACCCTTACGTAATGTTCTAGATGAGGGAACAAGCGAGATAGCAGCTAGTGAGAAGAAGACCTCGCTTTAGTTGTCGAGCTACACTAGTGTGTAGTTAGGCTACCTCAGTTACCCTAGTGGTGCGTTATCAGTGTTGTATGGCCTTAAGGCCACCAGTTATGCATGTATAGTTGCATCTGTCCAGTACAACAAATATATTTAAAGCTTGGCTAGACGGTTGTGTGAGACCGAGCCAATGCTTCAGTTGAGTGGAAATTATCGACTGCTATGTGATGACTAGGTTACCCCTCCATGATCCACATGATTGCTATGTGAGGACCAAGAGATCATTCAGTAGCTTAATGGGGATTTCAACGATTCTATGTGACACTGAGTTCCCTCAGTTAATTAGTGTTTGAAGGCTATGTGAGACCAAATACTAGTCAATGTTGCATTCATATAATGCACAACAGATTCAGTGTTGCATCCAAATAATGCACAACATAGTTAGTGTAGCATTTAGATAATGCGTAGCAGTTACAATCATTAGGGTTAGAGATCCTATAGAGGTGTACTCATGATGAGGCCCTTAGTAGAGGATTAAGGGAAACGTGAGGCTCCTATTTCAGTAATAGAACAGTTGAACTTTAAGTAGATAGAACTTGATTAAGATCATATATATACCTACCGCTTAGTACTATGTATTTAGTATGATTATGTTTATTAGACTCATAATACTGCTCTAGATTAACGATTATACTGTTGGACTTTGTAAGCTCAACATTTAGATGTTTTCCATTTGTAGGTCCGTAGCTAGAGCTAAATCGTGGAGCATCGTCGCAACAGGACTTCCAACATCTCCTTCAAAGTATTATACTAGAGCTTTAGTGTGCATGCGTATTCATAGAACCTTACTTATGTATTTGAGTTGTAAACCTCAAGATGTATTATTTTGTTTTTAAATTATGTATCATGAATGTAATACCCCAAACATCGGGTCAGTGACCATAGTAAAAGGATTTAAAACTTTAGTGGGTTAATTGGAATAAATTGAAAAGTAAAAGGATTTAATTTAGAGATTTTGTTTAAGACTTATTAGTAAGAATGGAAGAATGGAGGGGCATTATGGTCTTTTAGAAGGAAATGATTTTAATATTCATTTTATTTGAGATATTTATTAAGGGTTGAATAGTAGAAAAAGGGAAAGAAAGATTAAAATAACTTAGTTCTCTTCTTCTTCTTATTCTTTCCGTCATCCCCGTGCCCTCCATAGCCATAGGTAAGATTCCTTCAAGTTGGTTTTTCCTTTCGTTTATGGGTTAGTTTTGAAGCCTTAAGTGATATAGAAGCTTAAGGAAAACTTAAGAGTGAATAAAACTAAGAGATTAGTGATTTATTAGAGATTTAATAAAATGGGTTTTTAAGTGATTTGATGAAATAGAGTCAGATATTGGAGTTTAAAGACATATTTGACTTGTCAAAGAAGTAAATAAGAGATTTAGAGCATTAGAAGTGATTAAAAACATGTTTGGAATTTGGGTGTGATTCTTAGTTTTGAGTGTTCTTTGGAGATTTTGGATGTTAAAAAGAGATTTATGGATGTAAGTTAGTTTGGATAAGTGATAATTAGTTTAATGGTATGGTTGGAGAAAAGAGTAAGATATTTAGGTGGAATTTGTGTAAAATTCGAAGTAAAAGAGGTAAAATTTGGGTGAGGGTATCGGTACTGTAAGAATAGTACCGATACTATAAGGTTAAATTTGAGGAAAGATGATGAACACGATAAACAATATCGATATTGTTGCAAGTAGTATCGATACTGATGTAGAGGTATCGATACCAGGAAGAAGGTATCGATACTGTGATTGGAAAATGGATTCCATAATGCTATAATGTTATCGATACCGAAGTGGGTATCGGTAGCATAGAAGAGAAGTATCAATACCAAATTAAGGGTATCGATACTATTCAGTCTAAAATGTTAAGTTAGGGTGAATTTTAATTGAATTCGAATTTAATAGTACTTTTGAGTATAATACTTTGGATAAATGTTAGTAAGTATACTAATATCATATTTGTATGTGTGATTATGAATGCTTGTGTAGATCATAATCAAGTTCATGAGTCAAACAAACAGAAAAGCAAGGATAAAGTCGTAGAATAGTACGACTACATTTGAGCATTATAGAAAGGTAAATCAGGTGAGTGCATTTATTATGTACTTATATCTTATGATAGTCATTGATGTATTTTGTTTAATGTATATGTTGCAATTTCCGTATTGGCACTATGTGTGCAACCCTATGAAATTCATAATGAGTTTATGAATTTCCATATTGGTACTATGTGTGCAACCCCACGAAATTCATAATAAGTTTATGAATTTTCGTATTGGCACTGTGTGTGCAACCCCACGAAATTCATAATAAGTTTATGAATTTCCGTAATTGCACTGTGTGTGCAACTTAAGAAATTCATAATAAGTTTATAAATTTCCGTATTGGCACTGTGTGTGCAACCTAAGAAATTCATAATGCATTTATGAATTTCCGTATTGGCACTATGTGTGCAACCCCATGAAATTCATAATAAGTTTATGAATTTATGTATTGGCACTATTTTTGCAACTTAAGAAATTAATAATAAGTTTATGAATTTCCGTATTGACACTGTGTGTGCAACCTAAGAAATTCATAATGAGTTTATGAATTTCCTTATTGTCACTATATGTGCAACCCTACGAAATTCATAATAAGTTTATGAATTTCCGTATTGGCACTGTGTGTGCAACTTAAGAAATTCATAATAAGTTTATGAATTTCCGTATTGGCACTGTGTGTGCAACATAAGAAATTCATAATGAGTTTATGAATTTTCGTATTGGCACTATGTGTGCAACCCCACGAAATTTATAACGAGTTTATGAATTTCCGTATTGGCACTATATGTGCACCTCAAGGATATCAAAAATGAGTTTGTGAATTTCCATATTGGTACTTGGGTGCAAATTCATGTACTATGCATTCTCATTCAGCATATATTGGGCAATTAAAATAATAATTTTGGATAAATATTGATTGATAAGTATGTTGGGCATACTAGATATGGTTTCGTAGGTTATGTAAAAGAACTTTATATATCATTATGATTTATATGAGTTAATTCGTATTTTGATATTTATGATATACTTATGTTTTGATTTCACTTCATTATTATTATGCCTCACTAAATGAATACTTAGCGTGTGATTGATTTTCACATATAGGTAAAAGCCAGGATTAGAAGTAGATAGCACAGAGCAACTCCAAGCATCAAGGAATATACTACAATATCAGTAAGATATCCTATGATGAAATTTTTGACTCAATTTAGTGACATGTACTTATAAATGTCCTATTAGCTCTATTTAAATATTTTGGAAACTGGTTTGTAATAGATTAATTGAATCGTCTTATACTGATTTTAAATATGGATAATATGAACTAGCATTGCTAATTGGAGTAGACGTGTTTAATATATATATATATATATAATTGAATGTCTTATAAACTATACTATTAAATAGTTTTATATAAAGAAAACAAATTTTAGTGATTTTCAAGTACCGAAAATGTTTCAAAAGTCATGTAACATCTGTGTCTCGTGTACAGAAACGTATACGGGAAATGGGTGTTACAATGAAGCTCCATTTTATAAAATGTTTTATAACAATTGTTTATGTTTTATTATTGGTACCATACAATGTGATTTAAAAAGAAAATGATCAGGTTTTGAAAATTAGGGGTTGCCTCGGTAGTCTAATATGGCACTTTAGGCCTAAGCGGGTTTAAGGTGTTACAAGTTCAATTTGGTACTTATCTTTTTTTTTTTTTTTGTATCTAATTAGGCACTTGAATTTGACTTTTAGGTTCAAATTAGTATATAAACTTAGCTTCATGGTTCAAATAAGTCATTTAACGTAGTACCAATTTGGATTTGAAAATGAAGTTCGAGTACCAATTTGAATCAGCAAGTCAAGTTCAAATTTCTGATTGGACAAAAAAGTTAAGTTTAGATACCAATTCAAACCTTAAAATTAAATTCAAATATATATTTTTAATTAATTCGAGGTGATTATAAGATAGTATATGTTTGAAAGAATATCAACCATTTGACAATGAACGCTCATACACTCCTGCAGAATTATACTCGAACCCAAGACCTCAAGGGATAACAAACATACCTTTAGCCACTGAAATCGCTTGATTCATGCAGATATTTAATTAAATTAAGAAATTAAATATTAAATTATACTTTAATATTAAATTTGAGGGTAAAGTACACAAATAGTCCTCTAAATATAAGGTGATGCATTATTGAGTCCCTCGAATATGGGATGTTGCTTTGTTGAGTCCTCGACTATTAAAAGTTACGAAATGGTTACCCGAGTATTTAGTATATTCAAATCTCGTCATTTTTCGTTAAAAAATTGACAAGAGTCTGAGCTAGATGTTAACTTGTTGATTGAGATATGATAGTTTTTTTAGATTATGATATCAAATTGTATCACATATCAGTCAATAGGTTAATATACGACTTAAATTGCCGTCATTTTTTTAACGAAAAATGATGAGCTTAGAATATATTAAATAGTCGATTGACCATCTTATAACTTTTAATACTCGGAGGATTCAACAAAGCAACAACATATAGTTGGGGATCATTTTATAACTTTTAATAGTTGAGAGACTAGATACTACTTTGTAATCACATTAGTTTAATAAAAAAATTAATAGTCGATGAACTTAACAAAACATCACCCTATAGTCAAAGGACTATTTGTGTACCCTATATTCAAATACCAAAATATATATTAACCCTAATAAAAGATGGTAATAACCCTAGCTACCAAAAAAAGGACTGATTGGTTTGATTTGAATGAATAATTTAATATGGGAAATTGGAAATGTTTCTTTAATTTAAACATAAAAATACAAAACACTCCTTTGGAGCTACTTTGGCTAGTTGCTACCACATGCATTCATGTGGGATCACACCCAATGGAAAAACCTTTTTGATAATTTCTTCTCAATCATTTAAGGATTGGGGTTCCAACACTTGTCACCTACAAAAATACAATATATTCTTTTGTTTTCCCCCCTTCAAATTCATGTGTTTATGAATGAAATTTCTTCATTCTGGATTCAACTTGAATTAGGTTTATGTGGAGACAAAATTTTATTTTTAACCATAAATTATTTTTATTTTCGTATAATAAAAAAGTTTTAATTGAATTTTTAATATTATAACTTTTAAATTTTTAAAAGAATTCAACGTTTGTAAATACGAAATTCTTCATACGTACGATGATGTCGTAATATGAAAATCTTAAATCTTTATCAAATTCATACATAGAAAAATATTTTTTTAAAAAAATCAATGTCTATGAACATGTGTTTATTAAATAAAAAATATACATTTTGTTAAATAATTTTTAAATAAAAATCTACACTAATACTTATTTTTAAATCACAATGAGATAAAACGACTTTAAAATATTTTATATTAATATTTAAAATTGGATTAAATAATATGAATCGAGTAGTTAAAAACTTAAAAACTTATTACCTTTTATGCTTAAATTTATTTAAGGATCGAATAGAAAGTCACTATATATTATTTTTTAATTCAAAATTTCTATGTACTAATACAAATATTCTGTTTCATTCACATTAAATTAAAATATAAATATTTAATATAAATTATTATAAATGTGGTGTGAAAATGATAATACTATTATTGATTGGAGGCATGAAATTGGGATATGAATTTTGAAAAGGAAAGTAAAACGAATTAAAAATATTTTATATTAATATAAAATTATTATAAAAATGTCAACAATCATAAGGTTTGAACTGTCAATTTATTGTCTTCTTATTTTTGAAGCATTACCATTCACCTCTTACCATTATTATGTGGGACCTTCTCTTTTAACCTTATCACAAATTCTAAATATCTTTCTAAATGAAAACAAAATTACATTTATTTTTAATGAAAAATATTTTTTAAAATGAAATTAAAATATTAATCAGTATTTATTAGTTATTTCAACTCCTCACTCCTAGTGACTTAATTAGATATGAATATATTTAAATAAATATTATATAACCTTTTGTTTATTTTAGGTAAACTATGTATTTAATACCTTAATTATCAGGTTTAATTCGTTTTAGTACTTAAACTTTTAATTTTTTTTTCTTTCAAAACTATACATAACGTTTAGGTTTTGTTTCATTTTGGTATCCACTGTTATAAACTTAGTATATAAAATATCAATTTTGATCCAACTTAGTACTTAAACTTTCATTTTTTTTAAATTTAATGTTAAGTTTTTAACAGGGTGTTAAAATGAAACAAAAACTAAAATTTAAGTATAATTTTGAAAAAAAATAAAAATTTACATATTAAAATGGACAAAAACTGATAGTTTAAATATTAAGCGTGTAGTTTACCTGTTATTTTATCCATGCATATAAATATCAAGTTAAGAGATATTCTGAATATATATATTAAATTATGATAATTTTATTATAAAATATTAATTTAGTGAAAGAAAAATAAATTGAAAAAATTCCAACATAAACAAAATCCGTTTTTTTCCTTCTCCTTTTTGGATTAACAACAGTGACAAAAACAAAACCCCAATGTTCAAGTGTGAACCCAAAAGCTGAAAAACAGAGTGGATTTCGTTTTGTCAGCTAAAAAAATGATTTTTTTTATAATTTTTTTGTTCAGAGCTATAAAAATGGAGGCAGTGTAAACTGTAATGGAGCCTACCAACCCATAAATCGTCAGATCCGTCCTTTTGGGTCCCCATTTTTAACCTTTGTTTCAGTCCTTCACTGCTTCTGCTTCTGCTTCTTCAGCTTCTTTCTTTCTTTGAAAAACAATAAATTATTGAGAGCAATAGAACAAAAGACATTACACTGAAAGATTAAATCGCTTTCTATAAACTCAGTGTTTTCAAATGGCAAGAGATTGAGAGCAGAAAAAGGGTTGGTTTTTGTTGGACAAATAAAGCAAACAAAGTGTGTTTCTTCAACCGAAGTTTAAACCTTTGGATGACTATTGGAAATCATTTATAATTTTTTTAAATATCAATTCTTTGGGGGATTTGATGAAAATCTTTACTTTGTTTAGCATGTTTTTGGAAATGGGTCTCTATCAGATCTAACTTTTAATGCTGAAACTGTCAGTGGTTGTATATTTTCATTCTTTGAATAGTAATCAACTTTTGCCACACATTTGGGTGATTTTATTTTTATTGATGAATGCACTTTTATGTTTGCAGCTTTTTGAAGTTGAATTTGTGTTTTTTTTATTGCTTTCGGCACCATAGTTTTGAAGCCAAGTAAGTTCCTCAGATCTGAATTTTCCATGGAAATGTTATTTTATTCAATTAAATTCATAAGTGGGTCTTTATATCTTAACTTTCTTTGTATATTGAATAGCTTCTTTAGATCTGTAAAGGTGTAGAGATTAAGTTTCACTCAGTTCTTTAAAAAAAATTCACAACTTTGGGTCTTATTTGTTCTTTGTTTGTTTTCATGAGTTTAGATATATGATTATTGTAATTTTTTTGAGACTTTAGGTTGTATTTACATATATTTTACTTTTCTCTCTCTCAAAGTTGAATTTTTTGTTAACTAAAACATCATTGATGTGGATATATGATTCACTTTTGGATAAATTTTAATTGCAGGTCTTCCTATTGTAATACTAATACCCTCTTCTGTTTAATGATTTAATTTCATTCCTTTGATCTCAGAGTGGCTTCTCATTGCTTGATTACATTCATGGGATTTACCTAATGGAGATGGGAAGTGGTGTAAATATGGACCTCCAAGAAGATAGCGGCAGGTTGCAGTCGCTACCGGTGACGACCTCTAGAAATATGTCATCATCGTCGTCGGCCTTCTTTTCCGCGAATCAATCACCGTTCTTCTCTCCTAGATCATTGACTTGTCAGTTTTCTGAATCAACAAGGTCTGATGCTCAATGTGATAGTATTAATCAAAGTGCTGATCCTCCAAGCTCCAGTTCTGGGATTCGGGGAGCTGAATGCCTTGAAAATGATCGGTTCGATTTGTTGGATATGTCATTCAAGCCTACTGCTTGTATTTCGAGTGATTTCCAGAAATTTGACCACGTTGTCTCTAGTGACAACCTACCTAGTTATGGTCGTGTCGGTGACAACGGTTATTACGACCTTATAGCTAAGCACAGAAAGCATATGAGAAGCCATGATATGTCATTTTCCCCGGTTCCAATATCACTGTCTTCTAACAGACATAAAAGCTATGACATTTACCTAGGTTTGCATGGTCGGAAACCTTCCTTACTGAAATTTGCAAATTGGCTCCGTGCTGAGTTGGAAGCGCAAGGGATGAGTTGTTTTCTATCAGATAGAGCTCGATTTCGGAGTTCCCGTAAGCATGGACTTATTGAGAAGGCAATGGATGTTTCTTCCTTGGGGGTTGTAATTCTAACAAGGAAGTCTTTCAAGAATCCGTATTCTATCGAAGAGCTTAGATTTTTTTCTAGCAAGAAGATTTTAGTCCCAATCTATTTTGACCTGAGCCCTGGTGATTGCCTTGTCCGGGATATTGTTGAAAAGAGAGGAGAACTGTGGGAAAAACACGGGGGTGACTTATGGTTTTTGTATGGAGGATTGGAGAAAGAGTGGAAGGAAGCTGTTAATGGTCTCTTTCGAGTCGATGAATGGAAACTGGAAGCTGCAGATGGTAATTGGAGAGACTGCATATTACGAGCTGTTACTCTTTTGGCAATGCGGTTAGGAAGACGAAGTGTTGTGGAGCGAATGATGAAGTGGAGAGAAAAGGTAGATACAGAGGAATTCCCGTTTCCTCGAAATGATAAGTTTATTGGCCGGAAGAAAGAATTGTCAGAGCTAGAGTTTATACTTTTTGGTGACATTAGTGGAGAATCAGAAAGAGATTACTTTGAGCTCAAGGCTCGATCGAAGAGAAAGAATTTGACGGTTGGCTGGAGCAAAGGCAGTTCAGTGGAGGAAAGACTTGGGAAACGACAGTGGGAGAGTTACAGTAGGAAGGGTAAAGAACCGGTCATTTGGAAAGAGTCGGAAAAGGAGATTGAGATGCAAAGCACTGAAAGGAAACACCATCAAAAACCTAAAGGTGGTGGATGGAATTCACACAGAAAGAAATCGACGAAAATCGTTTATGGAAAGGGAATTGCCTGTGTATCCGGTGAAACAGGAATAGGGAAGACAGAGCTTCTTCTGGAATTTGCCTACAGATATCATCAAAGATATAAGATGGTTCTATGGATAGGAGGGGAAAGCCGGTATATCAGGCAGAATTATCTAAACCTCTGGTCTCTTTTGGAGGTTGATATTAGGGTCGAAAATTGCATAGACAAAAGCAAGATGAAAAGCTTTGAAGAGCAGGAAGAGGTTGCCATGTCTAGAGTCCGGAAAGAGCTAATGAGGAACATACCTTTTCTGGTGGTGATTGATAATTTAGAGAGTGAAAAGGACTGGTGGGATCACAAGCTCATAATGGATCTTCTTCCCCGTTTTGGAGGAGAGACCCACATTCTGATATCCACTCGTCTCCCTCGTGTGATGAATTTAGAACCTTTAAAACTCTCATACTTGTCTGCAGCAGAGGCAATGTCTTTAATGCAGGTAAGTGCAAAAGACTACCCCATTGCTGAGATTGATGCTCTAAGGATCATCGAGGAGAAAGTTGGAAGGCTGACTTTGGGCCTTGCAATTGTAGGTGCCATCCTATCTGAGATACCGATAAATCCAATCAAGCTAATGGATACTATCAATAAGATGCCCTTGAGAGACGTTTTAGGGAGTGGTAGGGAAGCTCACTCCTTGAGGAAGAACACTTTCCTTTTGCAACTCTTTGAGGTATGTTTTTGGATATTTGATCATGCTGAGAGACCAAGGAGCTTAGCAACAAGAATGGTCCTAGCGAGTGGTTGGTTTGCACCTGCTTCCATTCCAGTTTCCCTTTTAGCCTTAGCTGCTCGGAAGATACCCGAGAAAAGTAAAAGAACCTGCTTTTGGAGGAAATTATTGCGTTCCTTGACATGTGGTTTTTCTTCATCGTACTCCAAGAGATCAGAAGCAGAAGCATCTTCTATGTTGTTGAGATTTAATATTGCACGAAGCAGTACCAAGGAAGGTTACATCACTTTCAATGAGCTCGTTAAGGTTTATGCTCGGAAGAGAGGAGCTACCGGTTTTGCACATGTCATGGTTCAAGCTGTTGTTAGTCGTGGGTCGCTATCTCTCCACTCGGAACATATGTGGGCAGCATGTTTCTTGCTATTTGGATTTGCTAACGACCCCATAGTTGTTGAGCTCAAGGTGTCGGAACTGTTATACCTTGTTAAAGAAGTGATTTTGCCACTTGCAATTCGAACTTTCATTACATTCTCTAGGTGCAGTGCTGCTCTCGAGCTCCTCCAGCTATGTACCAATGCGTTGGAGGTGGCGGACCAGGTGTTTGTTACCCCAGTCAAGAAGTGGTTGGACAAATCACTTTGTTGGAGGCCCATCCAAACTAATGCTCAACTAAATCCATCTCTTTGGCAGGAGCTGGCACTGTCTAGAGCCACTGTGCTCGAAACTAGGGCCAAGTTAATGCTAAGAGGGGGACAATTTGACATAGGAGATGACCTGATTAGGAAAGCAATTTTTATTAGAACTTCAATCTGTGGTGAGGATCATCCTGATACCGTATCCGCTCGTGAAACTCTAAACAAACTCACCCGGCTTCTTGCAAATGTTCAAACTCAGACTTAACCATAGATTCTATATTTCTTGTTAGCAAATTTACATTAGTTTATACATAGTTTACAAATAAAACTCCTGTAAACAATTCCTAGAATTTTTATACCATTTTAACTTTGAATGAGATGCCTTACAGTTCTGAATTTATATTCAGTGTTGCAATGTATTTTTTCTTGTTTCAAACTAGCATTCAACACGGATAGCCTGTTGATGAATACGAGGACTTCTCACTCAAAAGGTAAGTCCCTTTCTTGATGAATTTGCTGTCATGTTTCTAACGGTGTTTCGCATTTGATAATCCTATGCTTTATTCTCTTCTCTCAGATCTCAAAGTTCTACGAGTTAATTGCATCGGCTAAGTCAAGAAAGTTAGCTTGTTAAATTCCAGGATGCATTTTGTGTCTACCATGATGCATAACATTGTAAGGTACACTTCACAGGCTATGAACACCATTGGCATATTCATTTAGTTGTATTCTCTTCTTAAATGGTCGACCGATATTCGGTTGGCTTATTTAGTTGTCATCATAAGTTTTGTGACAGAAGATATTACCTCTTGATTTACATATTTCATGCAGGTTTATACAATGTGTTTTCAAATCTACCAAATTCTACTTTGGCAACTGATCCACTCTGAAATAAGGATCTCATCATTCATGTGATTTTCATTCCAATTATGCTATTTTTGGTCTGTTATTGACGTTTTTTTCTTTTTTGTATTTACTAGGTAACAAAGTCTATTGTTGTTGACTAGATACTTTAGACCTATGTTGCTTGAACACAAGTGTCAATGTCGAATACGGGTATGTATATACAAAGGTATGTTCGATGTTCGGTTTACACTTTTTATAGCTGAATAGATGCTAAGCCCGTGCTTGATATTTCCTCTTCTTAGCTCCATAGGTTTAAGAGTTATTTGACACCTCAAAAATGTGATTCAAATACTTTGATATGTTCGGGTGAAGCTAATGCCAGTTAAGCTCGTTTTTGAGCCAAGGCAAGCTCAAGTCATCCCGATAACAAAAGTGTAGTTCGACTATTGCATATGTAAGTTCCTTATTCCCTTTCACAGTTTTGTTCTATTTTAAGATGTATTACCCCCTACGAATCTCCATAACGATGCTAAATCTCTACCTTCTTCCTGCAAGTGAGTTTCAACATGCGAGCCAAAATCTTCAATAACAGTTGATTCTATTGCTGATCGTGGGGAAAGCTCTGAAAGTTCATACACAACCCTTTGCCGATAAATGTTTAAAACTTCCTAGGAGTTTGTTTATTTCGGTTTTAAGGTTTAAGATCAACCAATATGATTGATTCTTCATGTTCAACGTTTGTTTAGCCTTTTTCGAGTTTTAAAGTCGAACTGACTGAATGTTCAATGTTCACCTTGAATGGATTTGTGTTATATTAAATGAATTCAAAGGTGAAAACAACTACAATAATAGAAGGTCTAGTTACTTGCAGATACATAAACAAATTGCGGGGCATTAAAATAATGTACGTGCATCTTAGTGCCATCCCGAACGCATCTCACCCTGAAACACCATGTTTGATTTCAGCATCTTCTTCGCCAAATCACAGATATCCTCTCGGCTTGATTCCATTGATATCCGTTGAAGCTCTCGTAATCCTCCAATCGATAGAAAGTCCTTGGCATTGTCCTCTGCAAGAGTCGACAGATTAAATTTTGATTAACACCTATAGTTTATACTTCCTGCCATTTCACTAAGCATGTGAATCCAATCTTATCTTCTTGAAAATTCACCGAATCAAAATGTTTCTTAGAACTTTACTTACCATTTTGAGCCAAATGACAAAGGGCCAGCTCGACATGACGTCGGGTTGAAGCCGATGCGATGTTACAGTTGGCGATTAACCATTCAAGTGCACACTCTTCCATTAGAAGTGAACGGCCTTTGCGATGTCCTGCAGAAACTTATGTTCGTTAAAATCGTGAAGGAGGATAACTTACAAATGCTATCAAACTTTATAAACATGGCTGAACCTTGAACTATTGCTCGGGATTCACATTTTGCAAAGTTAGCCAGTCCTCTAGCAACCTGTGCAACCACATCACTATTCCCTGATCTAACCATTCCCAGCAATGCCTTGATTCCTCCATCTTCTTTTAGCATTTCGTGTAGTTTTTCTGTTGAGCAATGAACACATACAAAATGAACATAAACCGAAATGATGATTTAACTCCGTTTTGATAAGATTTATCGATCTAAACACATACAAAATGAACATAAACTGAAATGATGATTTAACTCCGTTTTGATAAGATTTATCAATCTAAGCAAACGATTATGTAGTAGAAGTGAACTAAAATTCGAATAAAATGGTTCCTAATTTCAACTGGTACAAGAAACTGGAAAAAAGGCATACCATTTCCGCATAAATTGGCAAGTGCCCCGGCTACCATTCTAAGAGTTTGCGGATCATCTTTTTCAGAAGCTGTCTTTGCTAGTAACTGAGCACCTCCTTTGCTCACTATCAGGCCTTGATTCATCTCTGAGAATCATTTGAAAACAGGTTAATACATGTGTGAGAATCAATGGAAAAGAGATCAATTCGAATCCATCATAGATAACCATTAGCCAGATTCAGAGTGCAAAATATGACAAGGGAAGAATGAAAGTTACAATTACCATTCATTGCCAAATTAGCAATGGCTCCGGAAGCCACTCTAAGTACGGTTGCGTTTTGAGATGATCTCAACATTGTAAGCAGAGCATCTAAACCGCCTTCCTCCACAATCGTCGCCTGGTTAACATCTGCAGAATACGAAACCATAATCAATACCAATCATTCAACCTGAGAGATGATTTTAACTTTCGAAGCACACAAGGAACAAAGTATGCTGAGATTTTATCCGAACAAGGCGAAAAAGAATGAATGCAACAATTTATTCAAATCCAATCAGTAGGGATATAGTTCTCCACCTTCAGCAGCAAGATTGGCTATGACTTTCACGGCATGGATTTGCACATCTGTGTCTTCAGAGGTTAACAATTGTATTATTTTTTGAAGCCCAACTGAATTTAAGAACCAACATACATGTAAATGAAGATTGCTCACCGATTAGGAGAAATATTTTGATAATATATGATTTTATTACAACAGAATCTTGCCTTCTTCACATATTTTTGCAATTGTAGCCCTCTGAGAAGATTGTGTGGCCCTTAATGTGCCCGATCTATTGAAGCTTGCTGAGGTCCCAAACATTGAAGTTCCTCGGGTATTTTCCTTCATGTATGACTTCTTATCCTGTGAAACTTGATAGTATAAGCTATAAAGAAATAACAATGAATGTGATATCGAACGCGTACAAACAACTTACCTCGAAATCTTTATCACATTCGGGTGTACTTTTTTTAAGATTTATGAGCTCGTACTCAATAGCCTTCCTCCGTTTCTCTTCTGCTGACAGTTTTTCTTGCACGTCGTTAAGCTTTTCACAAATTGCTTCCTACAAAAGTAAATTATTTGGGAGAAAAAAGCATTCAGGGTTGAACTTCAGGTTGAAACTTGCAGTGAGAGTGCCTATTAATTCGTAATTGCTAGATGCAAGTAGTCAATAACACTTGAACTAAAAGTTATGCATGCACACCAAGCATACCTTCTCTTGAATCTGATCTTTAAGTTCTGCTTTCAGGGATTGTAGTTCATTTACAGTAGATTCATGAAGCCAATACATTTCTTCTAACTTCAATTTCATTTCACTGGCTTCTTCCTGCCCCTGGAATCAGGAAAAACAAGAGAACAAGGCATAAAGATTTCGGAAACTGAACCACCTCTAAGAAAGCACAGGCATTTCACGAATATTTAACTGCTCAAAAAGAGTAGACACCTTTAGTAATACAATTATGGAACAAAGACACCGAGATAAATTCAAGCAATTAGCAATGGCATGGAGTATCAGATTCTCTCATAGAGCTAAAAAATCAAATTGACATGCAAATCTATGTTGTCTCATAACTGATACGTATGTAATTGCAAGGTACAGAACTTGGATCCCACATTCGAAGGTATGGGATTTTGTTGTGCTGTTTATCGGGAAACAAACCTCATGCAACCATTTGCCTATACAAGACCACTACACTGCCTAACAGTTAAAAAAAGCTCTTAAAAGTATACTATCTTCCAGAAGCTTTTTTCGGGAAAAGGCTTATTCCATGGAAAATCAATATCCTCTCTACTAATTCCATATTCAACTGTGGCAGAAAGCTCTTAAAAAGATCATTTTTCACATTTCATTTGTGGCAGAAAGCTTAACCTGCGTCGAGTTTTGATAATCTGTTAGCAGCATGTTTGCCAAATCCAATTGTTCTTGTGCACCTTCAAACCTGGTGTGCTCGTCTTCTAATTGCTTAGTTAACTCCATTAGTTTCTTTTCATACATCTGAGTAGTGTCAGCTAGAGCCTTCTGATGTTTAGAATTCTCCATCTCATGTTGCTACAAGCAATAATAAGAATATATAATTAGGCTTTACATATAATACTGCAAAATACAACCCAAGGAATCGGTGAAAACAAAACGATAATAATTTACACAAAGTGAGGACCACTAACTGTTTCCAATAATCAACGGACAGACCACTAACCTGTATTAATTTTTTATGGTCATCTGAAAGCTTCTTCATTGCATCTAACTGTTCTCGAACACTTCCGGACTTGGCTCGCTCGACTTGTAGCTGCTTGATCAACTCAGCTATCTTTTTCTCATACATCTGAGTGGTATCAGCCAGGACTTTCTGGTATGTAGAATTTTCAAGCTGATGTTGCTACTAACAATCAAAAGAGCAACATAAATACTCTCGTTTTCAGGATAATTGAAATATATACAAAGAACACCATTAACATATTCAGCTCAATTGTTCATTTGCATCCTTGGAATTAATGTAGAGTGAACTTTCACACACAATATATATACACAGAGGCATATATATTGATGTATGTATCATGTATGGGACAGTATAATCATGATTCATTCATAAATCAAAGTTGTTTAAACCCGATTATTGATCATGATTCTTGCTACAATGTCGAAGTAAGGCTACTCTAAAGACCATAAAATTATGAGAATGATTTATAGCCTTGGAGATTCACCGGAATTCTACCAGCAATATAACTTGGTTTATTTAACCCCACCATAGAGCCTCGCTTGAATCATATAACCTTAAAAATACATAGAAAAACAGCCATGGCAAATATTTATCAAAGACAATTTACCTTGTTCTGTTTTATACTCATTTTCAAATTTGCAATTTTATCTTGCAACAAAGAGTTCTGATCTTTCTGGCAGTTTAATTCAGCTAAAATCTCTTTAAGGTCCAACTCCAAGCGAATATTTTCCTTCTCTAAAAACTGTAAAAGAATATTAAATGGTAGAATTTTATTTCTTTTATTTTTACCAAAAAAGGGAAAAAAATAAGAGAGAATTATACAAACATTTAGATGCATATCAAATTCAAACACGAGACGATAATATCGTGAATTTAAGACTGAGTGTTAATATCAATAAAAAAAAGTAAAGAAGGAATGCAAACTACCTCAGACCTAGTGACTAGATTCTTTCTCGTCTCATTTAAAGAATCACAACAATCCTTTAGTTGTTTTTGCAAATCATTTTTCTCCTTCTCCCTCAATTTCTGTTCCCTATCGATTTCTGCAGTAAGATGGTCTACTTGAGTCTCAAGCTTCCGGCATAAACTTTCATAATCAAACTCTTCTTTAAGCTTTACCATGTTTACAATTTTCATAGCCTGCAAAAACAAGATATCAGGCTGCCTAATGAAAAAGATGATGTAATGCATTTTTTCATCTACATCAATGGTTCAAGCATTTATTCTAATCAATAAGATTGCATGTATTGAAGTGAAGAATCTCTCCACTTTTAAACCATAATATTCTTCATCTACTCACCCGCTGCCCAAACATTATTGTGCTAGTGGTCTCCGCATGATGTCGTGAAGATGGCCCTATTGTTATTATAAGTGAAGTCCTTGCAGAGCCTATTCATTTACAAATGAATCTCATAAGAATATTAGAAGATAAAATGAACAAGTATATATATATATATATAAAGAGTGCAATAAGAAATGGTTGAAACATGATGTTAATGTGCGAAGTGTTCTATACTAACCTCCGAAAGAATCACGAAGCAATCTTGTAAGTTTAGAATCCCTTGTAGGTATATGTGGACTGTTCTCAGCTAATGCGTTTATGCATTTGCCCAGCGAAGTAAGAGAGAGATTAATGAACTTAGCCTCTTCAAGCAATATGCCTTCACTGCCTACAACATGGATAAACAGTTATGCAAGTTTTTCGAAGGATGATTTGATAATATTATGCTCCTACTTTTAGTTGTTTAACATTCAAAGAAACAAGATATGTTGGAAGAGTCCATTTCCACATAAGGCTTGGAATTTTTAATCTTTATATGCAGGATTAAAAAACAATCAAGTGTTACTTTTTTCTTTTCTCTGTTACATTAATATTTTTAATATCGTTTACAAGAACATGTATTGCCCTGCTAACCCCAATGGTGGACATTTAAAAGCCAATGACGGTGAATTAGATAATTTTCCATATGGAAAACTGTTAATATAAAACTGGCTCCTCAAAAACATATGCGTAACCAGATTATAAGACTGTAAAAAGTTAAAACAAAAAAGTCAATGTGTGTTTGAAGTATACATGCAGTCTCCTAAATGTAAATACCAACCATCAAGAACATACCAGATTTGTCCAATCTTTCAGAACCTGCAAGATCCACGATTAGCAACTTGCTTTTCCTAACCAGAGGAAAATTGCTTTTTGTTTTCATATCTTGAGAACTAATATCATCTTCCACTATTTCAGGGACAGATCTCCGGATAAAAACCTACAAGAAAAATGAGTTCGGGATCCTTTTTAAACTTCGTTTTTTTCCTAACAATGTTTTCACAGTACCAACTTCTAACACATGCTTACCATAAGAATTGCATGGCTACGAGAAGATTCTGTATTTAGATTTGTATTAGCTGAATGACGATTAGCCTCGCCAATCTGTAGTAGCTCTAGAAATTGATCTAGATCTCGAACCTTAACTGTAACAGTGCCAGGCAATGACACTTCACCAGTCTTGTGGTCCTCATTAATGGGGATATTTGTCTTTTCTGGTGCAAGCAGATCTTGAATAGATTCCATATACAACTAGAATGAAAGTTAAAACACAAAATCAAAAAGATAGATCATCATCTGGAATATGTGTTTTCAGTTGATGAACAGTTTTTTAAAATAGTGCAGACAGAAACCGACTAAATATTCTACGATATACCACAAGTATTTGTTTATTTCCATTATGCAAAACTTCAATACAGCTAAAATTTAACTCAAGCCAAAACAACAAAACCTAACCATGCCTATCAAGGAGATAAAGCATACAATATAATTCAAACCAAACTATTACATTAGCTAGGTCGAGGAAGAAAACACACGTCAACAGTGAAGTCAATCAACAACCATGAGACCAGTACCTATAAATGACCAAACCCCAAGACAAAAATGCAAATGTGAATCTTACCTGCAAATAGGAGACTTCCACTGTATCAGCAAGCGATATGTTGGACAGTATGTCCTCAACAGCTCTAACCATAATACCACGTTCAGATGCATCATCTTTACTGAGTCTTCCAAGTGTAAAAGTCTTGCCGGTGCCTGTTTGGCCATAGGCCATAACTGTCCCATTATAACCACTCAATACACTCTGCAAAAACATATAAAAACAACCAAAAAGATTAAACATCAAAACATACTTAAAACTAAACAATCTGAGGAGTAGCTTTGGAATGATCAATTTCAAGATGAAAATGCACATATAGCTAGGGATGTTAAGCAACAAGCATGAAGGGGGTATTGAAGAACGAACATGCAATAGGTACTAATAAATAGAATTGGTATCATCTGAGAAATTCCACAAGCTGAAAAAAAAAAGACCTCTACCACTTTAGACATTTCACACTGACCTCGACTACAGGTTTTGCTACAACTTCATAAACACGCTTCTGAGAAGCAGTTTCTGTGAAGACTTCATCGAATTTGTAAGATTCCGAATTCCAGTTGTTTTTACGCAACTTCAACCGCTTCAGCTACATTGCACAAAAAATACAAATCATGAATCTATGATTACAGAGGATGCCCTATAAGGGAAATCAAGAATAATGCAAAAGCAAGAGAAGTGCTGCAAGATCAACTTAGTTATGATAAAACCATGAAATCATGCTTGGAACCAGAAAGTAAACATGCTTTGACAATTTACAACAACGTCAAAAAAGCCTTGAGAATTTGTCGATAGATGGATAAATTACCTCAGGGTGCAATTCAACACAGTCAGCAAAATCAGCTTCCGAAAGATCTTCGGCATTTCTTGGCCGAAGTCTTACAGCAACTCTCACCCTTCCAGGATCTATGAATCAAGTTCAAAATCAAGGACATTTCAGAAAGGTACTTTAATCAAATTGCAATCAGTAGCATGTTCAGCCACTTCAATAAACAGGTACTTGCTCTATTAAGCCTGGATTCCTTTACATTATTTGTTCTTCCTAAAAAAAAGAGTTCCAAATAACTTCCCCTGCTTTGTGATTTTGATAATGAAACTATGGTTATAAGAGACGAAAACCGAGATCCAACAAGCACAAGAGCAACAAACAAATTATCAGTCATTTGAAACTCAAAACGAAACTCGAGAATAAAGTAAGCAAAACAGAAACTTCCTCCACAAATTCAGACCTTTGAACAGAAGCAAGTAAAAAAACATCCCAAAAAAAACACTAATTCCATGCACAAAATGAAGTGAAATAAAAGGAAGAAAGAGGGGGGAACAAATAACCATTGTCATCATCAAAGTCCCTAGAGTGAGAACTAGAATGTGGAGTAATTGAACGTCTAGGAGGAGGAGAAGGAAGAGGTTTAGCATTGTCTTTTGAACGAACAGAGCTTTGCCCACTAATCGAACTTCTCGTCAACGAATTCCCACCATGGAGAAACCCCTGTTGTTGATGAGAAATCCTTTGCCTTTCAGCCCTTTGTGCTGGTCTCAAACCAGAGCTTGCCGTAGCCATTGCCAGACGTTCAAAAGAAGAAGAATCTGAAAACCGGGTATGGCTAAAAAAGACTTGGTTTCGAAAGAAAACGAACTAATGAGCATTAGAAAGAAACAAAACCCAAAGTCAAAAGAGAAAAAAAAAGTTTTGGGATTATCGACTAGTCCTTGTTGAGGGAAGCAGTTGAGGCCGGCACGATGGAAGGGGAAAGCAATGGAGGTTCCCTTGTTATTGGGTAGTGTTTGAGTGGGTAGTTTGTTCGTGAGAAAACGTCAATGGAAATGGGGGCCGGCCGCTAAAAGGAAACTCAGAAGAATTGTAATGGATTTCTGGAAAATCTTCTTTCTTTTGAAAGAGGGCGTGTCTTTGTCACCATTGTTGGCATTTTTATATTTTCAAAAAAGCTTCTGGTTCCGAACTGTCCCCTTTAGCCAACAAAAGAGAAAATAATTTTTATCTCCCTTTTTACTGTTCAATGTAAACACTTAAACAAGTCCACCTATAAATTAAACTAACAAAGTCGGGTTAGAGCAGTTGTGTTTGTAATTTATGTATATCGATTAAAAAATATTATGAACATATATTATGTTATAATAAATATTATAAATTTTATTGTTCAAATATGTTAAATCAAATTTTTGTGATTCGAATAATAGCTATTAACGATTAAATGATCATTTTGTTATAAATTGATAATGTTAGTAACTATAATTTTTTTAAATAGTGATAAAAAATAAACTAACTCAAATTTTAGCGATTGTTAATGTAACTTACCTTAATGTGTTATCATTTCAATAATAAATTTAAATTTATTCAATTCAAATTTATTGGGTCAACAATGATAAAATCATATTTTTTATTGAATATTAATTTTAAAATTGGTATTTTAAAATTTTTTGAAATTTATTTTTTTGAATTAATCATTGATATTCGATCTATTGATCGATTAATTCATATCGGATACTGTAGAGTCCCAACCTAGTTGAGCATGTGATGAGGGTACAAATCTAATATATTGAATGAATAACATGGAATTATTGAAGTATCATATCATGCCTTCCCTACCACGTTGATGAATGTGGTGGGGAATTTTTGCTTGATTGGCCCTTCAATCAAATAAACCTTTCGCAATGATCCTCTCATGCAATTTTTCCTTTTTTGTAGACCCACATTTTGTTTAAATTTATTTTTCACATGTTAATAATGGATCTCAAACATTTAAATAATAATGAATGAATGTGAAATATTCCAATTATTTCAATAATGGCAACCTCATTATTGGAAGTGTAATAACAGGAAAGAATGTTATAATGCATTACAACTAAGAATATATATTTATATATATGGATGGACCATAGGATTAAGGGTTGATCATATTTATATAAATTTTAAATCTTTATTATAAGTGCACGAACCAATTTACCTCAGTGGTTAAAGGAATCGTTGTTATTCTTAGTTATGAGTTTAAGCACCAACAACTGCAGTAGAGTGATTGAGTCATTTAAACTTGTGTCTGATCATATATGTATATATATAAAATCTTGTGTCTGTTCATATATGTATATATATAAGATAAATACTTAATAGCTGCTAGGAAAATCATGGGCGGGGTTAGATTTTTGACCCATTTAAACTTGACCTGAAAATTAAACTCCTTCATTTGTCTGACCCGAGTTTAGAAGGACTTCATCTTACTTAACTTTTAAGATAAAAATTCGCACTCGATCTAACCCAAATACGTACATACATGCATACATACATATGTATATATATAAGTATTATCGTAAGATACTCTTACGAATATTATTATAATTATCTCTAAATATTAACAATTGATCATATTTATGTAAATTTAAAAATTTCACATAACTTATGTATCTTTTACATCTCTATTGATGATTTAGTTTACATTCTTTAAAGTTTTGTAATTTCATCTTTTTCAAAATTTTAATACAATTTCTTAAAATCATGCGCACTAACATAAAATTTTATGTATATATATATATATATTAAAGATGAATACTCAAATTGTCACTCGGGATGATTATGGGTTGAGTCGAAAATTTTGCCTACTTAAATCCAACTCAAAAATTAAACCCCTCTATTCGTATCTGATTGAATTCAGGTTTAGGAAGACACTATTTGATCTGAAATTTAACTATTTTTTTGAGATAAAAATTTGCGTCCGAGCTAAATATATATAATTCTTTTTTATTAGGAAAAATAACGACTTAAGTGAAAGAAATAATATAGAAAGATATTGTTGTAATTATCTCTAAATATTAAGATAAAACTATAATATTGTTTCGAGTCTAATCAAGTGGAGTTTTTTCACTCTAAACTTGAACTAGACCTTATATGACCTAATCCTAAAAAATAATCAATCTAATCCAAATATGATTTTATAAAAATCAACTCACTCAGATAAAATCGAAACTTGTCGGGCTAAAGTTATTTTCACTTAGGGGGCGTTTGGTTCATGGAATGTAACATTACATCCGAGAATAAGATTACTGGAATGTTACATTACCTTACACATTACTGGGAATGTTACATTATTGTGTTTGGTTATGATTACAGTGTTTGGTTAAAGGAATAAAAGATAATTGGAATACATATTTTACTAAATTGTCCTTATGATATTTTTTTAACAAGTTGAATTCCAAATATTCAAATGAAAATATTTATATAAAAATTCATAGAAAATATATTATTGTATTATTTTCAATTTATTTATTTTTTATTAAATTTAAATTCATAAAATTTATATAATTTTTTTACAAAATTTAAAAGATAAATGGATAGATTAAAAGAGTAAATATACCATATATTCTTTTATTAATTAGTATTTAAAAAGTTATGATAATTTGTGAAAATAAATTTTTGAAATAAATTTGTGAAAACAAAAGACTATAGATTTTGAAATAAAAGTAAGGGTATTTTTTAAATAAATCTTTTGTTTCAAGGGCATTTTAGTCCAAGTTGAAGGGAAACAAAAAAATATCTAAGCAAAGCATGGGATTAACATTCCCGGTAAAAGGAGGAAAAATTTTACTGTTGGAAATGTTTTATTACTCCCCATTGAGAATCTTTTCCATCCAAACGTGGGTATTACAATATGAAAAAAAAATTCCCACCAAAAATCCTCAATTCTATGATCCAAACACCCCCTTAAGAAATATATAACCAAGGAATATAGGGATGTCGAGAATGCAATCACACTCTTTAAAATTTCAAATATCCAGTTTAGATATTTTCTTTTCATTTTTCACTCTAATTTCATATTTCTTGAAATTTTATAATTTCATACCCTTAAATATCTAATATAATTTTATAAATTCACGACATAATTTTTTTATCCTCTTTATATAATCATATTTTTGGAGGGTGATTTGGTCATTTTATTTAATTTTCCTTTTTTTTTTTGAAAAGAGAGAAGTAGATATTCAGTACAATTTCCTGGATCCAAGCATGTTGCTTCCTGCAACATGCAATAAATGGCTGATTTTGTATAATTTAGATAGTGTAACAAAAATAGTTTTAATTTAATAATAAGTGTTTAATTAATTAAATATATATATAACATTAATAAATTGATAAATTTTTCTTCCAGATGCTATTATATTCTTTCATCCGGAAAATATGATCTTAAATTTATGTAAAATAAATTAAAATATTATTTCTAATAATGTGTTAGGTGATATTATATTTTGATAATCATATCCACAAAAATAATCTTGAGTTTCGTAAATGAAAAAACCCTAAACAACTATTACTAAGGGAAATTATTTAGTACATAGGTTATCTAAAAATTAAATTGCAAAAGTGTGTTTAGTTCAACATTATGACATATTTGAATGAGCTTAAATTCTAAATCTTACATATACATTTTAAATCATAAATCCGAAAATCTATAACCATAAACTCTAAATAAAAAAATACATCTATATAATTTTATTTGTGAAATATTTTTTACTAAGTTTATGAAATAATAAAACTTACTTTAATTATTTGTTTGAATTTTAATCTATGGCACGAACCGAGTGACTTTAGAGATAAAAGAATTGTTTTTATTCCTTGATGTCCCAGGTTTGAGCACCAGGAATGCTAGAGATGTGAGTGTTCAATCTCAAATGGTTGAGATGAATAGATACTGTATTGTACATACCCTAGATTAATAATAAAAAAAGAATTTTTAATCTATGGTAATTTTAGGGTAAAGTACACAAATGGTCCTTTGACTATAGAATGTTGCTTTATTAAGTCTATCAACATTAAAAGTTACAAAATGATCATCTAACTATTCATTATGTTCCAAAACCATCATGTTCCTTAAAAAAATTAGCAGTCGTGTAAGCTAGACGTTAGCATGATGACTCAGATAAGATAATCATTTGAGATTCCAAGATCATATTTTTTTCATATCACAGTCAACAGTTTAACATTCAACTCAGAATACCGTTAATTTTTAACGAAAAATGACGAGTTTGGAACATAATGAATAGTCATGCGTCCATTTTGTAACTTTTAATAGTCAAGGGGCTCAACAAAGTAACAACTCTAAAATTGGATGATCATTTTGTAACTTTTAAAAGTTGAAGGACTTAATAAAATAATATTCTATAGTCAATGAGCCATTTATGTACTATACCCTAAATTTTAATTATGCATTTGGTGTAGACACTCATTTTTGTCCTGATTTTGGTCTTTCAATTTTAAATTTTGAACTTTTAATTTTTAGTCTAATCTTGTTCACTTTTAATCGAATCTGGTTCATTTGCTAAGTATATATATTAGATGAAAAAAATTAGATTAATTGTTAATATATATTAAAGGTAGTTTATTAATTTTAAGTAATTATATACATGCATATATTAAATAAATAATTAATATTTTAGTTATTACTTCTTGCAGATATTACAGACCATACATATTACAAGCCCAACAACTTTAGAAATCCAAACAAGGCCCACACGTGAACCTAGAAAGGTTTGGGGTTTTGGAGATAGGATCCTAGAGCCACATGATCTTAACCGTACGATGGGAGCAATAATTGACGGTCTAGATCGCCCGAATCTAGGGTTTTATACCCTAATGAGATATCACCAGCACCTCCAAGATATCTGAGCCATCAAATCTGTTGTCAATCCGATGGTCCAGATCTTCTCAGAGAATTAGGGTTTGGATAAAGTCTTAAGGTATCTCGATCAGTAGATTTTCAGCCGTTAGATCTGGCCCCGAAGATCTAACAGCCCACAACACTCTAAAAGCACCGAGAATAAGCGTGCCTCCGCGCAC